AAAAAAAAAAATCGATAATCTATCGATCAATTGTTTTATTAGAATATTATTTATGTGTTAAGTAAATGGCGATAAATATATTTCTTAAAAATCAGAAACGTTTCGCTTTTTTTTTAAAACTTTTGTAAAATTCGAATTAATCGAATTAATCTTGCTACGCTTTAAACATTTGTGTCTTATGTCCCGTTTTCTTTCTGGGTGCATGCATGCATGTTGAAAATTCATCGTCAACGTGCTGTTGCTACGGGTTTGTACGAATCTAAATACCTGATCCAACTTCTATAATGCAATTTCAATGTCGGTAGTCGATTACAGAACGCTATAAACGCGTATCTCCGGTAAACCCGCTAATTGATAACGTATCTAACGTTTTACAATCACGATAGCTAAAGATATTTATTATCGATGAAAACGTAAAAACATCTTTGATATCGATCCTCCTTTTACAATCAGATTTATACGTAAAATTATAATTTCATATAACTTTTTTATATGAAATTTTATTTATTGTAGATAATAGATATTCCATGTATCGATATTTGTAATTTTGGATTAACGTAATTTTCCCTATTGAAAAATAATAATTTGATAATTCGTTAATTTCGATAATTTTTTTAATTTTATTCTTAATATTCAAATCTTTTAAAACCTGGTTTCGAAAAGACAATGTGAAATATTTCGACCCGTTCCTGTTCACCAGGAAGAATCTTATCAAGTGGACAAATGGCGTGCGGCCCTGCAGGGTTTTAATTCGAATAAATCCAAGTTGACGAGGAGGCGGCCTTTTAAAATTCCAATGATAACGGACCGGATCTACGGAGCTCGTCAACGACGTAACGTCTACCATATTATCTTTCTCCATCCTCCATATTTTTTTAAATCGCTTCTCTGAATTATTGGTATCATGTTTGAATACGAAACGATAACCAAATAAAATTTTCGATGCGATAAGAAATTCAAAAAAATCTATTCTTTTTTCTAGATAGATTTTGATTATTTCAAGATTTCATTTATCTTCGATGAATAGAATAAATAGATAATTAAATTACTTTATATAGTACTTTATATAATAATATGATTAATTACGTTGATTATATTTAAATAGATATATTCGAAAGATTCGTCAATATTTAAATTAATATTTTTATATTGGAAAATGACTAATTTTGTTTAATTCATCCTTTGTAATATGTTAATTGTAAACTTTTTACAATTAATCAATAATTTGTAACAGGAAGAAATAACGTTAATTAGATTAAAATTAAATATGTGCAATATATAATAAATCAGCCTATATATTTATATAAAAGTTATTATAATTTTTTATACAAATCATTAGTTGTATAACATACAAATAATATATGTATATATGTATATATTGTATACAATACAAGTAATACTAAAAAATACTAGCATAACTAACCTAATAAATTTTTATTGCAAAATTAAAACATATATTTAGAAATTTTTAAATTTTTTTTATTTAGAAATTAGGAATATATTAGATACGGAAAAATAACTCACTGTTCGTGTATCGTTGAATAATCGAAGTTTTCTTGTTGATTAATAGTTTTTCATTTTTTACGGAAACAAATAAACGATTATTCATTTTAACAGATGAACTCCCGCTGAAATTTTATATGATATGGCGCTAATAAAAATTAAACAACATAAATCAAAATAAAGTTAATATTTCTGTGACAGTTTTTAAAAATTCTAAATTTTAATCTAAGATATTAATGTAAAAATAATTAAGAAACGAAATTCGATTTTTATTAATATTAATAAATGCATTAAAAGTTAAAAATAGATATTATTATTATCATTTCACTCAATTAATATTAGATACATATCGATAATGTAGGTATTACATCTTCATAAAAAGCTGCCCAGAGGTCGCTAATGTATATATATAGAGAAAGCTTATGTAGATTTCTACTTAAACAACATAATTTTTTTTCTATATTTTTATAGTTAATTTTTTAAAATTAAAATTTATATTTAAATAAAAATAAAAGTAATTAAAAAATTTAAATATTATTTCATTTAAAACTATTTCTTTATAAATAAATATTATAAAAAATTTATTACATTTATCTTTAATTATAGTATATATAACATTAAAATTAATTTAATAATTAATAAATCTTTAAAACAAAATTTAAAAAAAATTAATATTCTTTAATATATTTCTTGAATATTATTGAATAATTCTTGAATATTAACGAGTAAATGCATATATTTTTATTGTATGCAATCACATCAAATAATGATTTAATAAATTTACGAATTTTTTTTTATATGAATTTTTTTAAATTACTTTTCCGTAAATTCAATAATTTATTATCTTAATAACTTTATAAGACTTTATAAGACGATAATAGTCGAAAAAAAATAAAAAAATAATATTATGAATAATTCTATATTCTGCTGTTCAATATTCAGTTGAAAAATATTTTAAATGACAGAAATTTAAATCTCTGAATAAACGTTAACATCGCCATCTAGAAGGTATAACCGAATATATCGGAAGGTCAGACATAAGAATATTGTTCCATTCTTAATTGACGAAATCGATAAACTTACATATATGAGTTCGTAATGTTAGTGTTGCATTACATATATATTTAGTAAAAGTGATATTGTGATGTAGCTACAGTTTTGATATCATTTACGTACATAACATCATCGAAGTAACGTCTCATGTAACATTATTAGAATTTTGTATTACTTATCTATAAAATAATATAAAGTATTTTTATTAGTGTTGTTCTAAACGCATTCTTTACTGTTTCAAGAATCAGAATTCTTCACGGATTCATCAACTATCTTATTATTATAGGTATAAGATTTTTCTTATCTATTTTGTTTTTTAATTTTTGTGTATATATATATATACTTTTGAAATAATTTTTAAAACGTTTTATTCTATATTTTGTATAAAAAAAATAAAAGCAATTATAAATACTAATGCAATTTAGATGGAATTCAAATTTATACAAGTGCAGAACATAAAAATAGCATTTATTACGCCCATTATTCGCATAATTATTAAAAAGAATTTTTTACTATAAATTCAAATAAATCCAATAAATATAAATATTTTTTCTTTTATATTAATTTATATGTAAAATTTAAAATGTATAATGACTTGTTTTATCATATATATACAATGTATTACGTTTTATTAATTATTAAAAATATACTTTTATAAATGATGCAGTAACAGTATTTAATTAATTCACTTAATAATATAGTAATAATATATGTATTACATAAGTTTATTATAGATTTCTTTTATATATTATTTTCTTATTAATTTTTTTCTTAAAAAAACAAATGTTAAAAAATCAGTATATATATATATATATCGATATAATTAAAAGAAATAGTAACAATTTTTAACACGAAATAGTTATATATATTTATCATGAAGAAATAATATAATATATAGTTATTCTAAAAATTATAACAAAAATATAATATTTAATTAATATTAATATTAATTAATATTAAATATTAAAATAATATTATGTTAATGTTTTATTATATTGATTTTAATTTTTTAATATACTTTATTATTTATAATAATTTATAATAATGAAAGAATTGTTTTGATTTATCATAATTAAAAATTGATTTATGAATAAAAATAATAAAATATTTTTATTATCTGATTTATTATTATTATTATAATTAATAAATATGATATTAAAAATTTTATATATATATGTATGCACATAAATATGCTCTAATATAATAAATATAATATTTATAAAACAATTTAAAAAATAAACTATTTAATTTTTTTTTTTAAATCTATTTTTAACAGATAATTTATGCTATTTTTAAGCATTTAATTTGAGAGATACAAAATTATCTCTATTTAAATGTATATATAATTGTCTCTGCATTAATATACAAGGTCATTAAGCCATCATCATAAAAAAAAATGTATATTCAAATTTATTTATATAATTAGTAGATAATATATAATATAATTACCATAGTAGATAATATATAATATAATATTACAATATTAATTTTTTTTAATATTAATAATAATCAGTATATATATATATATTATAATAGATGACATTTTTAATTCTTTATTTTTAACATTCATATATAATAGTTACATAATTTAAATAATTTAATTTTTTTTTTACAGAAAATTTTATAAATATTCTATGTAAAGAAGTCTGATGAAATAAAAGAATTATTCATACTATAAGGAAATGTATTAAAGAAATTTATCCTATTATAGTAATAGTCAAATAATATCAAGTAATAGTCAAGAATACAAATGTCTGTATTATCAAATTCAACAAAACAAGTATTACAAAATACATCATCTCTTTCAATGGAAATACAAGATGGTAATACTATAATGTGTAATAAGGTACTTTGTTGAATATTTATGTATAAATCATAACACTTTCTATTATATTTAAAATAAAATATTTATTTGAATTTTTATCTGCTTTATCATATTTAATTATTAGAAATTTTGAAATTAATTTATTCATACATTACAATTAAATTTTCAAATAAAATGGATCTGTTAAATTTTATTTTACAAATTTGAAATTCATTACATATTTGATTTCAGTCAATGGAAAATCTAATATTCAACTATATCGTACACAACATTAAATTGTGTATTTCAGAAGAAGCAAGAAAAAAATATTGGGAGCAATGGTATATCTAATGCACAAAGAGTATGGACAAGTTTATTATCAGGTGCTATTGCAGGAGCATTGGCAAAAACAACAATAGCACCTTTAGATCGCACAAAGATAAACTTTCAAATTTCAAACCAACCATTTTCGGCAAAAGCAGCAATTAAATTTTTAATAAAAACTCTTAGAACAGAAGGTTTACTAAGTTTGTGGCGTGGAAACAGTGCTACTATGGTTAGAATAGTTCCATATTCTGCTGTTCAATTCACAGCTCATGAGCAATGGAAAAGAATCTTAGGAGTAAATGGATCAGAAAGGTAAAATTTACATACAACATATGAAATATTTATTAAATTTTTTACATTATAATAATCATATATACTTAATATTATATTTTTCAATATAAAAAATGTTTTTTCACATATTGTATCAAATTAATATTTTAAACTAATTTATAAATCTGCTTCTAATTCTATATTTGCAATGCGATTATATATTTATTTAATTATTTATGATAATTATAAAAAATTATTTATTCTCTTTGATAGAGAAAAACCAGGATTGAATTTTCTTGCCGGTTCTTTAGCGGGTATAACATCGCAAGGTACAACTTATCCGTTGGACTTGATGAGAGCAAGAATGGCTGTGACACAAAAGACTAAATACAAAACCTTGCGACAAATATTTGTACGCATTTACATGGAAGAAGGAATAGCGGCCTATTACCGTGGATTTACTGCAACGCTACTTGGTGTCATTCCTTATGCTGGTTGCAGTTTCTTCACCTATGATCTACTCAGGAATTTATTGACTGGTGAGTCATTTCTTTTACAAACTTATTCTACGCCGTGACGGTGCTTGTACGCAGAGAAAAAGTCGTGATTTATACGAACGAGAGTGGCACGTATATAAAGCAGGGTACCCGTGGGGCACATCGGGGCTGTTTCCCGATATTGGGACAATACTTACTTTAATAGCGACGCTTGTCGAGACAAGTCCGATGGCTGTGTTTTTCAAGTACGTGCTTCATGTTCGATGATGGCTACGTGTCGATGAACAGTGTACACGGTGGCTATTCCTGGCTTCTCGACATCACTGATTTGCGGCGCCATTGCCGGAATGGTTGCTCAGACTAGCAGCTACCCTTTGGACATTATTCGGAGAAGGATGCAGACTTCGGCGATGCATGGTCAACACTATCACACAATTAGATCAACTATTGCAAAAATTTACAAGTGAGTTTTTCATTTTTTAATTTGAGTAAAAATTATTAATATTGAATTTAATATAATTCTAATACAATTTATAAAATATAATTACATTCTTTCATTGCATTTAAATTTTAAAAAAATATAATATTTAAATTATTTAAAATATACAAAATAAAGAAAATAATTTTTAAAAAATGGCTTTTTTCTATTACAATTTCAATATATAAAATAAAAATATTTTATATAATTTTTTATTATTTTCAGAGAAGAAGGTATAATGGCCTTTTATAAAGGATTAAGTATGAACTGGATAAAAGGTCCAATTGCTGTAGGAATTAGTTTTGCAACACATGATACAATTCGCGATACATTAAGAAAAATTATTATTTGCCAAAATACTTCATTAAAAACATAAAAATGATATATGCAATTAGAAAAACTAATAAGAAATGTCTAATTATATCTCATTAGAAAAGCAGTAAATATATTTTCATCTGCTAAAAAGTCCTTTGAAATATAGAATGTTTGATAAGAATTGCATACAAACTTTATCATTGTTCTGCTAACAAGTTATATAGCAAAATTTGTACAAAAATCTATCAAATACTCAGACATCAATATATATAAAATTTATGATTATATAATTAATTAATAGAATCATGTAATGTAGTAATGATTTAATAAATATTATAGTTTTCAAAGGACATATTTTTAAAAAAATAGAAAATAGTACAAATTGTTGATGTACATATTGTTAATCAAAATGTTATAAAAATTGTTAAATTACTAAAAAATGCATGTCATATAAGTATACATAAATTACTAAAAAGCAAAATTATATTGCGCAAATATTAACAATTAGTTTATTTGTAATGTGAATATTATGCATAACAATGCAACTGCCCTCACAAGATATTTTTTAATCATTGATAAACAAAATATTTTTTTTGTGAATTTCAATAATTATAAAAACAATTTTAAAAAACAACATCTACATCTTTACACATTAAATTACAGATATATAGATATAATATCTACAATTGTTAATGTGATAGTAACAGAATAGTAGTTGTTTTATATTATTGACTAAATAGTTATTAAATTTTGTATAGAATAACACCATTATTTTAACAATAATAATTAAGTTCTGACAATAATTTTATAAATATAAATGTGCAATATTAACAATTAGCACAATTACTTATACTGAAACAAATTATTATAAAAATTATTCATATCTAATTTTTTTTATAAAATAATCTATAATTATTTTATAAGTTTATAATGGTCCAAATTATTTTAATATTGTATACATTTGAATTAATATTTCATATACTGTAAATTTTTATTCAAATATATTTTAATTAGAATAAAATATTTTCTCAAATATCTAATTTTTTACATAAATTTTACGTGTTTTAAATATTAAATATATATACACACTTTTATATTTAAAAATAAATGATAAAATACAACTAATATTACAAGTAATAATAATATAATATAACTGATGATGAAATAGACAATAAAATTTACAAATATTTAATATATAGTATATTGTTGAATAAATCTATTACCTTAAATAAAAATAATATTCTTTACAAAAAGTTAATTTATTAAAATTGACTAGTCTAATAATTTTGAACAGAAATTACTTCACTTCTAGAATTTGTATAGTCATCAATTATTTAAGATATAAAAATATAAAATTGACAGAAAATATTATTATTATATATGTTATAAATGATTATTAATTTTTGTGAAAACATTTTAGTATTTAGTTTTTACTGTTTTGATAAAGCAAAGTATAGTTAAAAAATTTTTACTTTTTTTTTTTTTATATAAAAAACTTTGTACAATATTATTTAGGTTTAGTTTCTTGATCATTTACATATCTTATATAAATTTCTCTTTCATCATTTCCACCTGGTGGGATTTCAGCTTCATTTAAATATGATACTCCTATAGCAAGTACAGAACCATCATGACTGAAACTAAGAGCAGCAACACCAGCATTGTATCTATGAAATTGACATAAACGTTTTTTGTTAAAACCATCCCAAATATTCACATAACCATCTGAACCACCAGTTGCAAATGTATTATAAGTTGAATGAAAACTAATAGCATTCACTGGATATATATGTTCCACATTATTTTCCTTTATCCTATGACATTTAAAAGCATATTTCTTTTTTTGTGCTTCTGGTGTTGTATCAAGATATTCAACAGCAACACGACCCTCTATGCTACTAAGAACATATCCCTAAAAGTTATTAAAAATTAAAAATAAAAAATTTAATATCAATATTAAATGAAATCAAAATTTAAATATATTTTATTTATTTAATTATCAAAATATCAAACTTACCTGCTCATTAGGAAAACCTTTAATACAACGTGTTTGATACTTTAAACTACTTTCACGTCTTTGAAACATACCAGCCATATTTCTTAAATCCCAAATACAAACTTTACGTTTAGCTGTACCGACTACAAACTTATCTCCACATACAGACAAAGCAAGAACAACATCAGGTTGTAAATAACTACCTACACAAGTAGGTGTTCTAGGATCCCAAAGTTTTACTGCTGCATCCCATCCTCCAGTTAATATTGCATTGACTGCAGCAGAATATTCAATTTTCCTAATTGGTTTATCATGTGTTCCCATGACTGATTCTATAAAAATAATTCTTTTTTATGATGTTTATATATTGAAATAAATATAAATAAAGATAAAAATATAAAAATATCAATACCAGTATTACTATTTATGTCATACATCTTTAATGTATTTCCTAAACCTCCACTATAAGCATGTACAGCATCCTATTAAAAGAAACTTTTTTATTGTATTGATATTAAAAAATTTTCAAAACAACTAATATTATAAAGATAAAAAAAAAGGAAAAAAATATATAATTATATTTAATGTATTATAATATTATATTAAAATTTATTTTTATTTTCTTAAATATATAATATTTTACTATTACTATTTTTATTTTTCTTTTTTTGTTTAAAAATACAAATATAATGATATAATATTAAATATTATATATATTGTTATAATATCTTAAAACTTGTTTATATTTTATAAATACATAACATAATATAAAAATTTCATTTACCTGAAATGCAACATCTAAAACTGGTAAATCATGATTATATTTTAATCTCATAGTATTTGTATGAATATCATATAAGCGCACTGTACTATCCCATGAAGAAACAAGAAGAAATTGTGTTGAATTCCGCCCAAATTCTACTGCCGAAATCGCATCAGTTGGCGGAGATTTTATTTTGAATTCTGTCCGAGATTCCATTCTTAAAAAAAAAAAAAAAATAAAAGCTAAAAAAATTAATAAGAAAAAAAAATATGTATATTAAATAATACAAATAAACATAACCTATAAATGATAAAATATTCACATACATTTTAAAAGATTATTACTGTATCTTAATAATAGACTTATAATATGTTTCTTCGTTATATCAATATAAATTCTTATATTATTTAAATAAAATTCTAGATAAAAAATGATTTAAGTGAAATTAAATATCGAAAAAGAAAATAGAGATATCCACTTCCATACACAATATAAAGGGAAATGTATATCGAAGTTAATTATGATACAAATGCATACAAGAAAAATTAAGAAATACAATCTTATTTCATTATCATGCTATTCAAAAATATATTACATGAAAGCAACTTTATTATTCAATTTCAATTAGCGATTTTGAAATATACAATTTTGTATGAAACTTTAGTAAACATTTGAATCTCAGGAAGTATCAAGAACTCCATATTTTTATTTGTATTATATCCGGAACACATGGTTATTTTCTAACCTTAATAATACGTTTTGGTTTTGGGTAGTGATTATTTAGAAATATTGAATGGAATATAAGATAAAAAAATCATGGTAAGCTTAACATTTTGATTATATTTTTAATAAATAAATTAGAAATATAACTTTCTTTAAAATTATTTTCATTTATTCATTATATTTTTTAAAACAATATATTAATTTTGATAAAATGATTTATATAATAAAAATGTAACAATTAGAAAATATAATACAATTGTAAAATATTTTCTTATAAATTAAAATTAAAATAAATTTTTATGTATTAATATTGAGTTTTGATTGGATTATTAAAAAATATATATATAAGTATAGATAATAACAAGTATAATATAAAATTTTATTTAAATAACAACAAAAGTAATTGTAAAAATGTTTGAAATTTTTTAAATAAGTACATGTTTTTACATTTTAACATTCTTTTTTTAACAAATCATTTTTATTAAGAATATTATATTATATTACCTTAATATTACAATAGATTATGATATAAAATTATGATATATTATAAGATTATGATAACATTTTAAATCAAATTCTTAAACATAATTATTAAATCAAATTTTTATTAACATTTTATATTTTTTATAATTAATTGTAAATTTTTTTTTATAAATTTAATGTATAACTTTAATATAATATTATATTTTTCAGTCAAAGCTTTTTGTTTTATTCGAACATGCTGCTGGCTATGCCATATTTTCTGTCAGAGAATTTGAAGAAGTAGGAATGTTATTGCCTCAAGTTGAAGCATCTGTAACAGATTTGTCTCGTTTTAACTCAGTTGTGAAACTAATTGGATTTTCACCTTTTAAAACTGCTTTAACAGCTCTAGAAAGTATAAATAATATTTCTGAAGGAATTGCTCCAGAAGATTTACAGTTATTTTTAGACTCATGTATACCAAAATCTGGAAAAAAAGATGAAATTGTGCTTGGAGTAGCAGATCCAAAACTTGGAGCTAATATTACTGAAGTATTAAATATAAAATGTGATCACACTGGTGCCATTCCAGAAATTATTAGAGGAATAAGATTTCATTTTCATAATTTAGTAAAAGGTTTTACTGCTAAAAGTTCTGGAATTGCACAACTTGGACTTGGTCATAGTTATTCTAGAGCTAAAGTTAAATTCAATGTTAATCGTGTGGATAATATGATCATACAAAGCATAGCTCTATTAGATCAATTAGATAAAGACATTAATACATTTAGTATGCGTATAAGGTAATTATTTTAAATATTTTTTTAAATTTTTAATATTAATCAATTTTTTTATATTTATAGATAGATAAAAAAGTTCAATTATATTTTTAGTTTATTAATTAATATGTTTATTATTTACAGGGAATGGTATAGTTATCATTTTCCAGAACTTGTAAAAATAGTTCCTGAGAATTATATGTATGCCAAAGTTGCAAAATTAATAAAAAATAGAAAAGAACTTACAAATGAAAAATTAGAAGCTTTGGAAGACATTGTCATGGACAGTGCCAAAGCTCAAGCAATTATCGATGCTTCTAAATCATCTATGGGAATGGATATCAGTCCTGTTGATCTTCTTAACATTGAAATGTTTGCAGTACGTGTTATTGCTTTGGCTGACTACAGAAAACAATTAGCAGAATATTTAAAATCTAAAATGACAGGCGTAGCACCAAATTTAGCTACATTAATAGGTGACCAAGTGGGAGCAAGATTAATAGCACATGCTGGATCTCTTACAAATTTAGCTAAATATCCTGCCTCTACTGTACAAATATTAGGAGCAGAAAAGGCTTTATTTAGAGCCTTGAAAACTAGAGGTAACACTCCAAAATATGGATTATTATTCCATTCGAGTTTTATTGGTCGTGCAGGTACAAAAAATAAAGGTAGAATTTCAAGGTATCTTGCCAATAAATGTTCTCTTGCATCAAGAATTGATTGTTTTACTGATACACCAACTAATGTGTTTGGTGAAAAATTGCGACAACAAGTAGAAGATAGATTGAAATTTTATGAAACTGGAGAAATACCTAAGAAAAATATAGATGTAATGAAAGAAGCGTTAGAAGAAGCTGCACAAGTAATAGCGAGTATGGAACAAAAATCAGCTAAAAAGAAAAAGAAAAAAGATAAAAAAAGGAAAAGTGAAGTTTTAGAAAATGGAAAAGAAAATGGATATATTGAAAATGGAGTGGAAGAAGAAACTGAAGAACCAGTAAAGAAAAAGAAAAAAAAGAAGAAGTCAAAAAGTTTAAATGAAAATGAATGAGAATTTATATATTATCTTTATATAATTATCATGCTATAATAATTGTATCAATTTTTTTTATTTATAACAATGAACATTATATGTTGAATACTTCATTTTTTAATATAGTTTCAATTGTAACTCTATTAATTCATGAAATAGTTTATTTTTAATCATATATTTTCATTGTAAAATTATATTAAAATAAGATTGACAATTAGATTTATAATTTAAAAACATATTTCCATATATTGCATATATTGACTCTTAAA